GAATTTCCCTGTTATTCCTGGTTTGCTGGGTGTTTTTAATCATAAAATAGTGTTAGATTTTGTCAAATGCTTCTTCTGTGTCTGTTGAGATGATCTTGTGGTGTTTGACCTTTATTTGATTGAGTTTCAGATGCTAAACCAACCTTGGATTCCTGGAATAAATCCTACTTGGTCATAGTGTATATATAATCTTTTTCACATGTTGCTAGATTGGGTTTGTTTGTATTTGTGTCCATATTCATAAGAGATACTGGTCTGTAGTTTTCTTTCTTGTGCTGTGTTTGTCGGGTTTTGGTTTTATGGTTATTCAGGCTTCATAGAATGAGTTGGGAAGTATTCTTTCTCCTGTTTTTGAAAGATTTTATCAAGAATTATTATTCTTTTTTAAATGTTAGGTAGATTCATGAATGAAAACATCTGGCTAGGGCTTTTCTTTGTGGAAAAAATTCTTTTTTTAAAGATTATTTGTGACAGAGAGAGAGAGTGCACACACAAGCAGGGAAAGCAGGCAAAGTAGGCAAAGGGAGAGGCAGGTTCCCCACTGAGCAAGGAGCCAGATGCCGGACTCGATCTCAGGACTCTGGGATCATGACCTGAGCTTAACTGACTGAGCCACCCAGCTGTCCCTCTTTGTGGAAATTTTAAAGAATTATTAATTCAGTCTCTTTACTTACTATAGATTTATTCAGATTTTCTTTCTTCTTAAATCATTTTCAGTAGTTTGTGTTTTGCTAGTAATTTATCCATGTCATCTAAATTATCTGTACAGTTGTTCGTAGTATTCCTTTTTAATTATTTTTCTTTCCATCAGGTCAGTAGTCCCCTTTGTAATTCCTGATACTAGTATTTTGAGTCTTTTCTCTGTCAGTCTAGCTAAAGTTTTGTCCATTTTGTTGCTTCTTTCAAAGAATTAATGTTTGGGGCGCCTGGGTGGCTCAGTTGGTTAAGCGACTGTCTTCGGCTCAGGTCATGATCCTGGAGTCCCGGGATCGAGTCCCGCATCGGGCTCCCTGCTCAGCGGGGAGTCTGCTTCTCCCTCTGACCCTCCCCCCTCTGATATGCTCTCTCTCTCAAATAAATAAAATCTTTAAAAAAAAAAAAAAAAGAATTAATGTTTGGTTTTGCTGATCCTTTCTCTTGTTTTTTTTTTTCTGTTTTTTTTTTTTATTTCATTAATTTCTGCTCTAACCTTTATTATTTTCCTCATTTTTTAGTTTGGTTTTCTTTTTCCATTGTTTTAAGATAGAAGTCTATGTTGTTGATTTGAGATCTTTTTTAGAGACATAGGTGTTTATAGCTGTAATTTTCCCTCTAAGCAGTGTCTCACTGCTTCCCATAAGTTTGGGTATTTTTGTTTTTATTCATGTCAAATCATTTTATGATTTACCTATGATTTCTTTGACCCATGGTTATTTTGGAGCATGTTTTTTAACTTCCACATATTTGTGAATTTCCCAAATTCCCTTGTATTACTAACATATTTTCATTCCATTTTGGTGGAGAACAAATGTATGAGTTGAACCTTTTAAAATGTACTGATCTGCGTTTTGTGGCCTCACTTACGTTCTTTCTTAGAGAATGATCCATGTGCCCTGGAAAAGAATGTGTATTCTACCATTGTTGAGTGGAATGTTCTATAGATAATCTGTTAGGTCTCCTTTGTGTTGAAATGTTCTATTTCTTTTTTGATCCTGTGCCTGGTTACTCTTTTTATTATTGAAAGTTAGGTATGGAAGTCTCCAACCATTGTTGAATGGTATATTTCTCCCTTTAGTTCTCCCAGTTTTTGTTTTTATATTTGGAGGTTCTTTTGTAAGGTTGGGGTAAGAAGAGTTGTGGCTTTGGTATTGCCTGGGCTAGAGCTGCCCATGTATGGAGTGGGGGCTGGATGGAGGAAGGGAGCCCCAGAGTTTTCAGCTGGTCTTCACCTGGAATTGAGCAACTTGGGACTTGAGGGGATGAGAAATGCTGGCAGGCCTGTCACTTCCAGTGTAGGGAGAGAGGCAGCCATGTGTTCTTGGCTGCACCCACATGAAATGGATCACTTTTCACTCTGAGCTTCAGGGAAGAGGCTGTTGGGACAAAGGAAGGAACAGATTGTGGCTCAGATACCACAGATACTCATATTTCTTAGATTTTCTTTAATAAGTTTCTTCATTTGATATATATATCCTGGACATTTTCTAGAGACTTTAAATGGTGGTTTTTGTTTTTGTTGTAATTTTTACCAGTTGTTTCACTGGGGAGAAGGTATGCCTACCCTCATTCCAAAAGTTGTCTCAGTCTCGTTATTTGTATCATGAAATTGCTCCTTAATTATACAACGCTCCAAACTAATGCAGTTTTAGAAATCACTAAAGGTAGTTGTAAGATTATGTATTAAGAGAAAAAGGTTTGCATAAGTAAAAAGTTGTGTACTAAGTATAAATGTATAAGCTAAATGTTCATTCCATGGCTTTCTAGTTTGGAACAAGAGAAATTTCTCTTGGACCAGGTACATTTGGGGGCCATTTGGTGATCTTGGTCTGATTTTAGATAAGTTTAGAACATTTTTATGAATTTCTCAATTTCTGTATAATTATTCACTACCTTTTATGAAAATGGTACTTCTTAAGAACAGTGAGTTCAGTGATGAGGCATTATTGTCCCTCCCCCTGTCAGAACCATGGCATATGGTTATGCTCTGTCCAAGGGCACCTGGCTGAGGGATATGTTGAGGGGCTGAATTCCAACCTGTGCTGTGTTTATCACGGGGCGGGACTATGTGAATCCCGAGGTGTAGATAGCTTAATCCTAGTTCACACAAAGGTATTTTGTGGGCTTGCAGATATTTTTAAGGTATTGTCAGTGCCTGGGGGGAAGTAAGACATGAACACTAGGGACTATATACAGCCAGGGGCACCTGGGTGGCACAGTCATTTAAGCGTCCGACTCAGTTTCCGTTCAGCTCATGATCTCAGGGTTGGGAGATGGAGCCCCACATTGGGTTCCGTGCTCAGCATGAAGTCTGCTCCAGATTCTCTCTCCCTCTCCCCCTCCCTGCCATGTGCTCGTGCTCTCTCTCTCTCAAATAAATTAAAAAAAAAACAAAACAAAACATACATCCAAAAGATACCAAGTGCTGTGGGAACTCAGAGGGAAGGATTACTTCTTAGAGGGATGATGGAAAAAGCATTTAAGTGAGGAGGTGGCATTTGTTAGGCCTTGAAAGGGTAGACAGCATTTTGACAAATGGAAATGAATGCAGGGGGCTTCTCAAGTGAATAGAATTAGTAGAAGCATGGAAATAGGAAAGTTCATGACATTTTTGGGTAACAAAGTGGTGATGTGGGTTGGTTTGTTTTTAACATTGGTGAATATGGGGGAGTACTGAGAAATGTGGCCGGAGAACAATCTGGATGAGGGCAGATTGTTCATTGTTAATGGTCTTGTATTTGTTAGTCTCAGGAGTTGATTCCAGAGATTTAGGTAGCTGTGGGAATAGTTTTTGGTTTTGTTTTACTTTGTTAAAGGGAAATGAATAACTGGTTGAGAGCTGTGTTTTGGGAGAATTTGGCCACAGGATTAAAAAAAGTATACAAGGTATTTCAACAGAAAGAATTCATTATAAATTTATACTAAAGAGAGACAATTTAGTATAAATAAGTAGTGTAAGGAATCTGTGAAATAGATGTTGAAGAGCTGGAAAAGCAAAGATCACCGAGGCATCCTAGAGCTAATCACTGCAGAAAGCAGCTACTACCCCTGTAGTTCTTCTAATCAATAAGAGAAAGATAACGGGGGCACCTGGGTGGCTTAGTCGGTTAAACATTTGCTTTTGGCCCAGGTCATGATCTCCGGGTCCTGGGATCGAGCCCCGCATGGGGGCTCCCTACTCAGCAGGGAGTCGCTTCTCCTTTTGCCCCTCCCCCTGCTTGTGCATGCTCTCTCTCAAATAAATAAATTAATTAAAATCTTTAAAAAAAGAGAAAGACGAGTTTTAGTAGGAAAAGGACAAAACAAAGAATAGTCTTAGTAGGAAAAGGACAAAACAAAGAATTTGACTATATAAAGAAAAAATACAAATGGCCAATAAAACAATAATAAAAATAATCCTTTGAAGATTTGGGGAGAATAAGTATAATCACAATGGAAATGGAAATTGGTACAGTCTTTCTAGAGCATTTTTTCAGTATGTATCAAAAACCTTAAAAATAACTGTTTGAGAAGATATTCTGAGACAGGGAAGAAAGCAAGGATGGTTTTAGACGGAGATAAGTTAAATTGGTAAGAGCTCCTGTCTGACAGTTTTGCAGTCAGAGAAAAGCAGGTTATCTTGGTGTGATAGAACATTGCTGTGGCTACTGTAGACAATCAACTGGCTTCCTATGAATGCAGTCAGCAGCAATGTCTTGCTTGCGGTTAGATAGCATAAATATATAAGCAGACTGTTTGGTTTCATGACTTTGTCCAGTAACACTTAAATAGCTCAAAAGTTAGTGGAAAGTTATTCAAGTGAATGCAAAGGGAAACCTGTGGAAGATTAGATGCAGGGAGATACTGACTTACTCTAGGGCATAGCCTTGCTGATGGCCCAGAAGCAAGGAGAGTGAGGAACCTCAGAACCAGTAGATTTGACCAGAACCTAACAGGTACTCTTCTTTCTGGAGCTGTCTGCAGTAGGGATTGCCAAGAGAAGTGTCAGCTCTCAGGATGACTAGAATTAATTCCAGGTCCTAGCTCTGATAAAGTATGGCTCCTGACACTGGGGATTCAGAGTTTCATCTGATCAGGCCTTGATTTGTACAGTGTCAACAGAATAACCCTGAGTTATAATAATCACATTTTTAACCATTTTGCATATATCGGAATTAGTTTTATCAGCTACTTGAAAGGAGAAATTGTTTTTCTCTGTAGTGTAGATTATGATTTTAAATTCCTGATAGTTGCTTCTATCTCAGGAGTTTTCTATTCTAGACCAGTAGGCAGATACCAAATTATGTTTATAATTCTCTTCATAGGAAAACCTCCATTCTTACCAGAATCTTTTGACCGAATTCTTCTTGATGCACCATGCAGTGGAATGGGACAGAGACCAAACATGGCTTGTTCTTGGAGTTTGAAAGAAGTGACATCGTATCAACCGTTACAGAGAAAACTCTTCACTGTGGTATGTGAGGATACTTTGATGTGAAAGAAAGTTGACCTTCATAGTTTGATGTTTCAAAGACCGAGGGCAATGTTCATAGCAGCATTTTTCACAGTGGAAACAGCCCATCAAGAGGTCCATCAACAGGTGAATGGATAAGCAAATTCTGCTACAACATGAATGAACTTTGGAAACATTCTGCCAAGTGGTAGAAGCCAGACACAGAAAGAAATATATTGTCTGTTTCCATTTATATAAGTTAACTAGAATAAGAGCATTGGTAGAGACAGAAAGTAGAATAGAGGTTACCAGAGGCTGAAGGGGCGGGAGAATGGGGATTTAGTGTTTCCTGGGTACAGAGTTTGAGTTTGGGAAGAGGAAGAGTTCTAGAGATGAGTGGTAGTGATGGTTGCATGCCAGTGTGAACGTACTTAATGCCACCCAGTTGTAGGCTTACAAGTGGTTACAATGGCAAATTTTATGTTATGTTTATTTTATCATACAGAAAAGGACAGAGAAAACCTAGTTTTAAATACAAGAAGCTTTCATTTATGTAGATCACTCTTTCATTTAAAAGCAGTAGCAGGATTTCCTCACTGAGACATTCAGTGACTTCCCAGTGTTCTGATAATATCTTAAAGAAGTCCCCGAGCCGTTAACATCATAGTTAAGAACTGATGTGTAAGGAATGGGATATAAAATAAATTACTCTTTTTTTTTTATAGGGCTTATGGATCGTCTTAGCATATGAGAAGCAGGAAGTCCAGGGGAGGGAAGCACAATGATGAAAAGGAGAAGGGACTATTCAGTGTAGGATATAGAAGAACCGTAAAAACTTTGCCAATTTAACTGGTGTCTAGCATGTTTCAGGAGAAGCCCAAATAGAACATTTGAGGATTTCTTTCAGGCTTGCACAAATGATTACGTGGATTTCACAGAACGTAGACAGCATTTGACCAAAGATGACTTCGTCATTTCCCCTCAGCCCTGTAATTATAAGTACATAAGCTTCGGCAATAATGGATGCACTGTAATTATTCAGTCTCTAAAGTTGTCTTCGAGTACATTTTTGCTTATCTGTCTAGTATCTCCTGTTATACACAAAGGATGCACTGGTAGTAGATTATTTAACTATTTCTTCTTCTGTACTGTCTTCAAAGAACAACCTGGAAGCGAACAGCAAAAAAAAGGAAGCTTTACTTATAGCTGAAACCCACTTTGACTTGAGAGTAAAATTAGGACACTGTTTCATTAAACATTTATTATTTACTTTTTAGAGAGAGATTGGGGAGCAGGGGGGAGAAGTAGAGAAAGAGAAAGAAACTCAAGCAGACTCCACGCTGAGCACAGAGTCCGACATCTGAGATCACAACCTGAGCTGAAACCGAGAGTCAGATGCTTAACCAGCTGCACCAGCCAGGCGCCCCAGGACACTGTTATAAAAGACTGGGCTTTTTGGGATGCCTGGGTGGCTCAGTCGGTTAAGCGTCTGCCTTCAGCTCAAGTCCTGATCCCAGGGTCCTGAGATCGAGCCCCACATCGGGCTCCCTGCTCAGCAGAGAGCCTGCTTCTCCCTCTCCCTCTGCTGTTCCCCCTGCTTGTGCACGTGGGCGCGCGCTCTCTCTCTCTCTCTCTCTCACAAATGAGTAAAATCTTTAAAAAAAAAAAAAAAATTTAAAAGACTGGGCTTTTTGTTCTTTTTAGGTCCGAGCAGAAAATTTTAAAAGGCTACTTAGGAGTAGTTGCAGTGATCGCAATGAAGAGGAACAGCTGGCTCTGTACAAAAGAGAATTTAAAATATAGCAGGTTTGCCATTTAGCACTGAGAGGCATTAGCTGAGAATGTGGACTTTATAATCACACACATCTTGTTTGGAGCTGTGCTTCTTCCACATAAGTGACTTTAGGTACATTGGTTTCCATATATGAGAAATGGGGATTATAAGTCTACCTAATAGGTTCACCTCATTGGCAGTAGTAACCATACCACATGGTTGTGAGTAAATTGAGAAAATCCATGTAAAATGCTTACAACAATAACTGGCACACGTAACAGTTTAAATTTTGATCAGCCTACTCTAGTTAAAGCACAAATATATACTATATGTGATAAAAACATACTATATGCAGTATATATAGTATACTATGTGTTATATAGTTTTACTTCTATATACTATATAACTGTGTGTATGTATATATATATATAATAGTATACTATGTATAGTATATATTTTAAAGATTTTCTTTAAAATGTTTTTAAATATCTGGGAGTTTGAAAAGATAAACTCTTAGGGGCGCCTGGGTGGCTCAGTCAGTTGAGCGTCTGCCTCTGGCTCAGGTCATGATCCCAGGGTCCTGGGATCGAGTCCCACGTTGGGCTCCCTGCTCAGCGGGGAGCCTGCTTCTCTCTCTGCTTGCCACTCCCCCTGCTTATGCACGCTCTCTCTCTCTCTCTCTGTCTCTGACAAATATATAAATAAAAAAAAAATCTTAAGATAAACTCTTAATTGGGAAAAACTCATTTTCTTATAATATCAGTTTCCTGATTTACTTACTGGACAGATTTTCACTGAACACCTAACCATAATGTAATATATGCTATTCTGGGTGTTATCAATGTAGTAGTGAAAAAAATAACAATCCCTGCCTTATTCATGGAGTGTCTATTCTAATTGGGGAGGAAAATAAGGTGAATTAGGTTATTATGTATAGTAACAGAGCAATAACCCTATGGAGCAAACTAAAGAAGGGAGGATAGGAGTGCTAGCTTTGAATGGTTGTAGTGTTACCTGGGACGGTCAGGTGCTGGAAAGGTGGCAGAGATCCAAAGATAAGATTGTGAAGAAGCAGTGCAGAGAATTAGAGTTTCCAAGCTTGTGCGCCGCTTCTGAGGCGGGAGTGTGCCGTGTGTACTCCAGGGCAGCAGAGGCCAGTGTTGCTAAAGCAGAGTGAGCGAGATGTGTGAGGTGAGGTCAGAAGGGCAGCCAGAGGCCTGCTCTGGGTAGGGCCTGGAAAACCCCTGTGAGGACTTGGGCTTTGACTCCGAGTCTTAAGTCAGGGCATTTGAAGGGTTTGGCGTGAAGTGACAAGTTTTTAAAAACACTGCTCGGGCAGCTGTATGGAGAAGAGGTTATAGGAGGGCAGACAAGAAAGCCGGTGGACTAAGAGGGAGGCTGCAGTAATCCAGGCCAAAGACAGTGGGGCTCGGACCAGGATGATAGCAGTGGAAGGAGCCAAATTCTGGATAGAATTTAAAGGAAGAGCCAGTGGAATTTGCTAATGGATGGGGAGTGTGAGAGAAAGGGAGGCATAAAAGATAGTATCAGGTTTGGGGCCTGAAAATAGCACATCTCTAATAGGTCTCAGAGGGAAGATAGGTGTTCACTTTGGGACCTGTCGAATTTGATAGCAGACATATATGGAGAAGGCAAGTAAATACATGAGTACAGAGTTCAGAAAGGAGTATGGCTTAAAAAGTGTGCATGTGTGAGTTTTGGACACAAAAAGTGGTATCTAAAGCAGTGAAACTGAAAATATTTTCAGGAGAGTCTTGGTTTAAATGGATTATAGCAGCTCCAAGATAGTGAAATGTACCTAGTCTGGAACACTCTAATTAGAGAACAAATCTTGGTCATATGGAACATTTATCCCAAACACTTGAAAGGTGGTATCCTGTCGATCTAAAATCCCGTAAAATGTTGCTTTTGCCTTGTGATACAGAGAGTCTGATCATGTTTCTTTAGGCAGTTGAGCTGCTGAAGCCGGGGGGCGTGCTGGTTTATAGCACATGCACCATCACGCTGGCAGAAAACGAAGAACAGGTTGCCTGGGCCCTCAGAACATTTCCTTACCTTCAGCTTCAGCCCCAGGTAAGAATAATTTCAGTTTTCTCTGTGTAATCTGACAAATTACAGAAAGCTGAGTGTGGGGATAAACACAAGGTTGTTATAGGAAGAACTATGTCAAGCAAAACTTCGGAAACAAATACTGCAGTAAACAATGCTTCTCTAATGAGATCCGTTTTAGACTGTCCGGAGAGAATTTCCACATCCTAACGAAGTTTTTCTCTGTTTTCGTTCCTTGCCGTTGTGTTAAAATGCCACAGAGCCCAAGTGTACTCATGTTACATACTTCTTTCACTTGTGGCTCTTGTTTATCTTTTTTTTTTCTAAAAAGTTGTTGGTTCTTTTCCCCTCCTATTCCTAGATTGTGCTGGTATGGAGTATCTTCACCATTTTTTCACAAGTCACATCAGGGCTAGCCAAGGGGGGACAAATGGTTCAGTAATACTGCTTCCTTATGGCTTCTGACATAAAATATCTAACATATAAAAAGCTTTCTTATACTTTATTTCACCTCAGTTTTTGTCAAAAGTATGACTATATTTTTAACCCATGATGTTTGGGATGAAGTGTAAATCTGTAATAATGCTCACATTCAGTTAGATACATTGAACATCTAACTTCAGTACCCTCCTATACAGAATTCTAGTTAGGTAATTGGAATGTATGAATAAAAAGCAATCCAGAGATGGTTTCTAGACTCAGAAAGGAAGGTAATTGCATTGTAGAGGAAAGGAAGACTTCAGAATTCACTTGTATTTTATGTGTGTGTGTGTGTATGTATGCATATACATTCAATATATGGATATACACTCAATTATACCTAAAAGAGAAATTCCCCCCCATGGATTAATAAACAGTAGGTTAATAATACATAAGTATTAAACATAACAATTATGCAGTGTTGACTTGATTTAGGATTATGGATCTTGTGCAGTCGTGGTTCACACATATCACTCAATTCCGTGTTCTGTGTTCTAAACTAATTGACGCAGCCTTAATTTATCTCTAATATTTGTTCTAGTACATTCAAAAACAACAATAGGAATTTTTTATCATCCAGTTGGTATGGGTCAGAGAAAGTCACCTTTAGGTGCCTGAGGAACTCCCGTCAGCTTTGGGGAGTGTGATAATAAAGCTGAATTTTCTTTTATTGCTGTTATTGATAAAAATGATCCACTTACCGAGTGACCACTATATGCCAGGCATACTACCACCTCATTAAATAAAGTCTTAGAACTGAGTATTTTATCTGTTTTATAGATGAGGAAACAGAGTTAGGTAAAGTTACTTAAGATCACATAGCAAAAATGTGGCAAAGCTGCAGTTTTTGATGAGCATTTGGGTCATAATAGATACTCAGTGATCAGATGACCGTATATTACTACCCAGAAAAACTGCACGTCCGTTCCACAGAGATACCATTTGTCTGTTTTTGGAATTGGTGGTACTTATACCTCAGTTTTGTCTTTTAACTTAAATTGTATGCAGGCACACTTACCAACGATAGGATGTTCCCTCTTCTCATTTTCTCCAAACAGGAACCACATCTTGGAGGAGAAGGAATGGTGGGAGCTGGCCTCTCACTGGAACAGTTGAAACAGCTGCAGCGATTTGATCCGTCTGCCGTGCCCTTACGGGACACTGACATTGATTCTCTCAGAGATGCCAGAACAGAAGACATGATTTGGCTGGCAAATAAGGATTGTATAGGGTTTTTTATTGCAAAATTCATAAAATGCAAAAGCACATAGAAAGATCCTTAGAAATGAAAATTCCAAACGTTTGCTGTATGGTTTTCTTTTTTTTTTTCTTTGACCCAGCTGTTGTCGGGCCTGGTGATGGATGGCATAGTTGCTAAGGAAGCAGAAAAGACAATCAGCAGCTGGACCAGGGACCAAGAGATTTGACCATGAACTAGTCATGGAGGAAGTAGTTGGGGGTGGTATGAGATTATATTCTGTGTTTTTTAAATAATTTTTTTCTTAAGGATTTAGCACAGTAAAAGGAAAAGGAGATGCCTATGGATATCTGGAGCATATTTTCATTTGGGGTTTTGTGTTTTAATGTGTAAAGAATGTAAGTCATTTTTAATGTTAAAATTTGTGATTGTAACAAAGGAATAAAATGAGCAATAATTTAATTTGGTAAAAAATGTTCTTGAGTTCCTAAAGTGGTTCCTTAAGAATTCAGGGTATGGGAACTCTGTTTTCCATGTACCCATAACTGAGTTGAGCATTTTATCAGTTTTTCTGTTTACTATATGATAAATCAACTTTTTTTTTTTTTTTGATTTATTGATTTATTTGAGAGAGACCGTGAGTGAGAGGGGCTGAGGGAGAGGGAGAGAGAATCTCAAGCAGACTGTGCTGAGCACAGAGCACGACACTGGGCTCCATCTCACGACCCTGAGCTTGAAACCAAGAGTTGGATGCTTAACCAACTGAGCCATCCAGGTGCCCCTTAAATCAACTCTTTCAAATGAAGTCTAGATCTCTCCTAAATGGTAGTGTGCCTTTACCATGTTTACTTTTTTTTCATGCTTTTAAAAACCTAAAACAAATATTTTCTTCACTCTGTACATTAAAATTATGAGAATATTCCACAATTTGGGTACCTTTCATCATCCATCGGAACATCTATTTATACAAGTTAATGTGATATGACTGGAGAGGCAGAAAAAACCAGCTTCTGGTAGCTGGGAACTGGCTTGGCACTTAACTTTGGTGTTTTTTTTTTTTAACTTTGGTGTTCTCTTGAACATAAACAAATTCACTGAACACCAACATCAGACAAAGCAACCGTGAATATAGTAGATCACAACAAAAAAAAGACCACTTCATAATCAAAATCTAGAATCCAACAGAAAACACAAACATCCCCTTAACTGCAGAAGTGACCAAACATCCCACTGTTAGCAGCCAACATGTGACTGCTTTTATTAAAAATTAAAACCTTTGGCTTGCTTCATCCTACCGCTTTTTAGATAAGACATGTTAAAATACTCAATACCCAGCCCAGTTTAAAGGCTGTCTCATGTAGTGTTAAATACATTTAAATGTTTTAACTTTCATTTGGATCACCCCCGAGTTTCTCAGCCTTGGGTATATAAATAAGGTGGACAATTGGGAACAATTGCCTAATAGTTTTTTTTTTTTTCCTCCAAGGTTTCTGTTAGGAATTTCTCCTGACTGTTGTGTCCATCAAGATGGCAAGGTCTTTTGGATCAGGTAAGATCTTTAGCAGGCCTCTTCTTTGAGGAAGCCTTTCTTGAACATCCTTCGCTGAGGTTGGCTTAGGCATTTCTGTTCTTCCATACACCCCTAGGAACCACTTCTACTGCCCTCATGGCACTGAACACACTCACTCTTAGTTTAATAGGCATGCTTCTTACCCCTCCCTTCCCCCAGGCCCCGGAAAGTCTCGGAGGCAGGAACCCTATCTTTTCTCTCACTGCTTTAGAGCAGATCATCAATACATGCTTATTCAATGAGGGATAAGATAGTTCAAGCTCCAAAAGATTCAAGTATGTGACTGACTTCTTTATGTCCCTCATTCTGCCTTTTTATCCAGTAGATGTTCTTGGACTAAAGAGAAGCACTGTTGACCTATGTAATTCCGTTTCTAGGGCTCCGCACATTTCTCCAAACTTTGTTTTAAAAAATGCACGTCTTCTCATGCTCTCTGCCAAGCCTTACATGCTCAGCTGAAAATCGTAGACAGGGAGATGAGCGGTAGACATGTAAACTGTTGATGGATACTGACAAATAGCAAAATACAAGCGATGCAGGCAAAGCAAAAAAAATTTGCATATTAACAGGAGGACAAAGAATAATTTCAAAACTGTTGGCTTTGACAAAGACCTTTTCAGTGGGTTTCATTCCTTCCAAAAATAGGGCAAATTGGAAAATAAGACACAATCTTAAGGGACACGAAGTTAAGAAAAAGAATAAAAAGGGGAAAAATCTGGGAAATGTGGAGGAAAAGAATATATTCTCTCAACATATTTCAGGGTTAACATAGATATTTCTGTGAAACAAAAAAATTTCAATTTAACAGTGAGTGCATTTTACTTCAAAACCCTGTGCCACATTTTACCTTAAATAGTAAGGTGAAGTACAAATATAATATAGCCAGAATTAAATAACTGGCCTAGAATCATCTAGTTACCTATTTTCTCTGTGTGACTCTTGATATATTACTAATAAGATGAGAGTATCCAAGACTAGCAGCACTGTATCATTGAGCAAACGGGGGGATAAGAGTGAGGATTTAAATTTGTCATCAAGATGGATCTTAATTTTAAGAATGAAGGAAAAATAAAAAAAAAAAATCAAGAATTGCCACACGTAGTGAATTAAGGTGGGAGAAAGCTTACTCGACTACTCTTTTAAAAGATCTTTACCTTCTGTAAACTAGCATTTTATCAGACATAATGGGAAATCGCTAAAGTAACCTTAGGGATTAGCATTGCCCTGAAGATAGATGTTCCACTGTGGGAAGTGTTGAAAATCTGACATATTCTTAACTTTAAGAATCATTCCTAAAATGGCAATTAATACTACTACTAATAATAAACAGTGCAGAAAGCCAGCTTTTATTTGTTTTATATGAATGACTTTAAACCAGATTTGTTGAACAGTTCAGTGTAGCTGACAGTGAATGTTTAACAGGAATGCATAGCAGACCATGTTAAAAATGTGGCATTGTCCCAAAGTACAATATGACTAAGACATCCTACATTTAGCAGCACCTTTTTGTAACAGTAACTTAAATGAGCTGTAGAGAAAGAGCATAGGAAAAACTGAAATGGGTTTGACAAAACACAGAACTATTAAGAACAGTTCCATTTCCAGCATTTTCTAGGTCGACTACAAAGATCATGATTCTACAACTGAGTAGGTTAAGGTTAAGCCTTTGCTGAGTGAAAAGACTAATTTTACATTCCACAAGTCAGTAAAATCTCCCATTGCCCTTGGGATTATTTCTTCATTTACAAATTGAGTACACTCTGTTCACACATATGCCTGCTATACAGTTTTCACGTATAGATGCTCAGTGTCAAATCCTGCAATATAGTTTTTTGAGGAATACTCTGATTTGGACTAATATGTTTCACAGTAAAGTGAAAAATTAAGAATCCAGGTAAAAAGTTCTAAAACTGGAATCTATTAGCATGACTCTTTGAGAGGGATTAGTGGTAGCAGCATGTAAGATAAATACCAGTTATACTTCAAGAGTTCTAAATATCCCAAAGTCATTAATTGGGATCCAAGTTTTCAGAAATATTTTATACAAGTAACTTTAACTGGAATATGGTTTCCCAATGATATGAATATTTTACATCAAAAATGTATATATTATGACTACTGTTTTTATATTCAATAAATAAATTTGTCAACAGTACAGAGCTAATTAACAAAAAGATTAATTCTGAGGAAAATGTTCCTTCTATTAGCTGGTAAGACCCTTCAAATGTGACTCATTTTTAAAACTGAGTTTTCTTACGGGGGAAGGGAAATAAGGAGTTAAATGTGAAACAGTTTTACTTAGGTCCCAGAATTTTTGGCAAGAACCTGGAATAATCAAAGAAGCAAAACAAAAATAGATTAACTTATTTAACAAAATAATAATTTCATAATGTACAGATCCGAAGTTAGGCAATTATAGCTCGGCATTTTCCAGGGACAAACTTCAGGTGCTGGGTACTTGCACACCTAATACTGTCTTACCTGTCCAGTCATGACTGGACAAAATGAACACACAGCGACAAGGAGAAGGCGGTTTTAGCCTTTAGCATGACAACCACACTGTGAGCTGCTTACGGCGCTTTAATTGAGGCATGGAGAATACTATCTTCTGGGTTCCCCGTCAGAGTAGATGTCTAATGGAGGAAGAGATTCTTAACATTTTGTTCACTTCAAGTCACCTCATTTTGCCCTGATTACTTCTGAAGAGCAGAAACTTTGGTTATAAGAAGCACTTCTAGGTTTTGATGGACAGCAAAACTGTTGGGAGTTGGCGGCAGGGAATGGAATGAAGGGGGAAACTGAAGGGAGATAAACAGGAACCATAGGCAAGGTTAGAAAAGGAGGAGGTGGGAGAAGTTAGAAAAATTTATTTTCCCACGAAATAATTCTACAAGCTGTGTAAACATTTCTTACTAAAACAAATAAACACACGAAGATTGTACATTTCCAGTGAAACACTCACAGTTAAAAGTTGCCTGTATTTCTCCTCTCTAGGAGCAAAAACAAGGAGCCAGCAGATGAATGCCTTCCTAGTCACCTTTGGCAGCAAGCTTCCTCACATTCCCTGACTGCTCAATGGATTCTCAAAGCAACATGTAGCACAATTAGATACAAAGCCAGGTGGGTAGAATTCTAAGTATATCGGTCTCGAGTCTTGAGCGCTCAGCTCCATCTCAGTCACTCTTACACACTCGTACACACAGACACACTTGCATACAGAGGTCCGGCTCGTAAACTCCAGTGCAGTGACATAAGACACTAGCTACTAAGAATGTGTGTGTCACAATCAGTGTGAACTGCATGGATTAGAACAACCTTTGGAGTTTGGTTATATTTATACCATAATTTATGGTCAAAATTATAAACTTACAAGGATGGTAAAACATTCAGAAATCAAACCTTTTCAAGTCAGGCAATCACACGTATTTACAGTATGTACAGACTTTCTACTAGAATGGGGATAGGTGTCTAGACGATATTACAAATTTCCTGAAGGTGGGCATTTCTAGTCCCTGTAATTCATAAAGCAAATCTGTTGACTTGGCATTAAGACTCTAAAATAGTGTGATCAAACTGATATATATATATGTATATATATATTATATATATAATTATCATAAGAAGGTGTTTGCAGAAATAACATTTACAAACTATACAGTACACAGTACTAGTACATAGAAAATAGATTCTAACTTTATGATCCCCTTTGTGTAAGGCAAGACTGAATCTGTCCCCAAATTTAGTCAGCCCGAGGTACAAGCAAGAGACAGTGGTCCATGGTTAAATGAATATGCAAATCAGGTACCTACATATTAAAAATCTGGAGAATCAAGAAATTCCACTTTTTACCTGGGCCAGTTCTGGCTTGCTGGATACATTAACTACATTTTTGAAAACATCAACT